TTAAAGTGTAGAGTTTTATGATGACCTAGCCTCTTTTCCTATGAAACAATGTATATGAACCACATAAATAGGTTTTTAAAAATAATTTATCCTGCCCATCCGGCATGGCTCAGTGGTTGAGTGTTAACCTGTATACCAGGAGGTCATAGTTGAATTCCCGGTCAGGGCACATGCCCGGGTTGCAGGCTTGATCCCCAGTAGGGGGCATGCAGGAGGCAGCCGATCAATGATTTTCTCTCACCATTGATGTTTCTCTCTCTCTCCCTTCCTCTCTAAAATCAATAAAAATATATTTAAAAAGATAATAACTCATCCTCACAGAAGTTGAGTAACCCTAAGAGAAACAAATTTCTTAAATGTACCCAGAACTTTGGATTCAAATCCTGCTCTTTGCTACTCTCCCCTCTCCCCTGTTCATCCTTATAGATAAGGAAGCTGAGGCTCAGAAAGGCAAAAGAGAGTGAGTAGCCTAAGATCACAGTGGGTTAACTGAGAAAGAGAATAAAATTCAGGCTTGCACAATAACAAAGCCCTTACCACTACATGGGACTGTGTCTGTCTAGTTTGGCTTTCAGTTTTCATAACTTTAGTAGCAGGATTGGAGAATCCTCTAATCCCTATACTCAGTCCTCATCTTAATTCCATCTAGGAGTGAAATTAACTATGGCCTATAGGCTGGCCAGAGACTAGACTTCCTTCCATCCCCTACTACCCCATCTTTCAGTGTCAGGCCTCTCTAAAGCAGTGTTTTTAAAATTATTTTGATCACGACTCACTTTTTTAAAAAAAGGCATTTTACATCAAAATTCAGTGTGTGTACATATACAAGAGACATTTTTACAACATGATTCTTTTTTGTTGTTTTTGCTATTAATCCTCACCTGAGGATATTTTTTCCCATTGATTTTTTTAGAGAGAGTAGAAAGGAGGGAGGGGGTGGTGAGAGAGGGAAACATCAATTGGTTGCTGTCAGCGCACACCCTGACTGGGACAGGGATCAGACCTGCAACTCAGGTATTCCCAGTTGACTGGGAATCAAACCAAAGACCCTTTAATGCAGTGGTTCTCAACCTTCTGGCCCTTTAAATACAGTTCCTCATGTTGTGACCCAACCATAAAATTATTTTCGTTGCTACTTCATAACTATAATGTTGCTACTGTTATGAATCGTAATGTAAATATCTGATATGCAGGATGGTCTTAGGCGACCCCTGGGAAAGGGTCGTTCGACCGCCAAAGGGGTCGCGACCCACAGGTTGAGAACCGCTGCTTTAATGTGTGGCCAACACTCTAACCACTGAGAAACACAGGCCAGGGCACAACATGATTCTTATGCTTACTGTTTGTAGTTACGCTTAATTTTCTTTTTAATATACTTATCATCATCCACCAAGTGATTTCACGGCCACTATTGGCTTATAGCCTCAGTTTGAGAAACTAAAGGTTTGAGGGTGAAAACAGCTAAAGAACTATAACATTGGTTAAGAAGCTAATTAATACTGGTTCTTGCACTACAGAATTTTGGGTTTCATGGACCAATTAATTTTAATTGTTTTTTCCCCCCAAGTAATTATATTTAGAAAGTTTACTACTGCCTGTCACCATAAATTTTTTAAGCATTAAAAAAAAACAAACCCACCCAAACAGTTGTTTAGGAAGTTTTTAAAAAATATATTTCCTGTTAAAAAAGAATTATGTAGAATGAAAAAAATCTGAATCCTTCACATACCATTTTCCTCATTCCCACTCTCTTCCAAGGTAACCACTGTTAACAAATGGATGTGTATCTTTCCATACTTTTTTCTGTGCAGAATTGTCTTTTTTACAGAAATAGGATCCAACCACATGTTTTAGTCTACAGCATATTTTTTACTTCACAATAGATTTTAGAGGTTTTTTCATATATATATATATGTATATATATATGAGAGAAAATTAATTCTAAGAAATTATAAATCTTGTTATAAAGGATATATTCAAGTTTAATAAATTTAGCTTTATGAAAAACATGCTATATTGTCTTTATTTTTATCATTTCATCATAGACCAGTGAAAACTTAATAAAAAAATGGCATATGTGAATCTGGATTCTTAGGATACACTGGCCTAAGAGACTATAGAATACCTAGTAGGATCAGAGTAATTTGTTCCATTCCTCTGTCTTACTCTAATATACTTTTCTAAGTTCTCACTTCTATCTCGTTCCTCTTCCAATTTTCTCTTTATAGTTTTTTGTGGGGTTTTTTTGTTGTTTGTTTTTTTGTTGTTTTTTTTTTAGAGAGAGAGAGAAACATTGATTTGCTGTTCCCACTTATTCATTGGTTGATTCTTGTATGTGCCCTGACTAGGGATCAACCCCGCAACCTTGACATATCAGGAAGATGCTCCAGCCAACTCGGCCAGCCAGCCAGAGCCGACACTTTCTTTTTTCTCTCTCTCTTTTATGTTATGGTTGCTTTTTAGGAATATATTGATAACCAATTCTGAATTATACCTTAGTATATTAAATTGATCTTTTCTGTGAATTAGGGCCACTCAGTAGCAAAACTATCTCATTTATTAACACTATGCAAAATAAATCTTTCACTTAGTCCTTATAGCCACTCTATGAGGTAGGCATTTTTTCCATTTTATAAAAGTAGAAGGTAAGACTTGAGCAGAACATATTTTTTTCTTTCTTTTTAAAATTGAATTTAGAGAGAGAGGAATGGAAAGAGAGAGAGAGAGAGAAACTCTATTTGTTCCACTTATTTATGCATTCATTGGTTTCTTCTTATATGTGCCCTGAGGGGATCAAACCTGCAACCTTGGCTTATGGGGACAATGCTCTAACCAACTGAGCTACCTGGCCAAGGCCAGAAAATTTTTCTTGATGTCATATTAATAATGATTAGTAACTTAATAATCATTTGAGCACTTTAGGTCAAACACTTACCCAAATTCTTTATGTGTGTTATCTCATTGAATCCTCACAACCTTAGGAAGTAGGTCCTCATAAGGCTGTTACCCATTCTACAGATGAGAAAAGGAGTACACTAATAAGATTTAGTAACTGGCCCAAAGTTGCACAGCTAATAAGCAGAACTGTAAAATAAACCCAGTGAATTGGACTCCACAGCCACAGAATTGGACTCTGCACTGCCTCCTGTATGATTTTTCTGTCTTTACTGGGATTGCAGAGATTTTAACCCTGATTTGACTTCAAAACAACTTGCTATAGTGACAAAATGTTTCCCCACATATACTGTAGAGTATGATGATTGTGGAGTCACTAGAGAAGGGAAAAATTATTCAAACTGGAGAAGGGAAAAATTAATTTGAACAAGCAGAGTACAACCCAAGCAATGCTTAATTTTTAGAAGTTTTGCATGCTCTAATCATACTAACGTCTTCTTTGAATGCCTTAGTTTCTTTCCCCCTCAGAGTCAGATTGATGAAGTATTCAGGTTTGCATGATTAGCCTCCTGAAGCCCTACTTCTCTCTCTGCCTCCTCCAGCACCAGCTTTCCTAGCCTCTTGGAAGGAAGGTAGAGAAGGCTCGATTGGCTACCTCCTGTACACCTCAAGTTTATTCTTTCATCAAATATTTATTGCTTGAAGACTTACTCTTACACCATCCCCTGGAGATTCCTGCATGTGTTTAGAAGGTATACCTTCTTTCTCTGTCTCTAATTTGGAGGACTACAGCTGTTAGGCCCTTTTAGTATGGAGGGTAATCTAATCCCTAAGCACTAGGAAGACAGCTGCAAGTTGAGAGCAGGTCAAGCCTACTGACTCTTAGACTTAAGAAACTTTCAGACATGGAGAGGTGGCAGAAGCAAAATGAAAGAGTTGATGTTTCTCTACTCACCTTTGACATAAATGTGTAGATTTTCTGGCAATTGGACCTTGGTTAGATTTTCAGAAATATCAAGAAGACTGGTCATATATGAAGGATACAGAACCAGAAGATAGCCCTCCACTATTAGGAGGATTGACATTCCCACACCACTAGAATGAATCCCTTCTTTTGAAAGCTAGAAAAAAGCAGAGCAGGAGGAAGAAAAAGGACAGCCCCAAGCCCTAGCTGGTATGGTTCCGTTGGTTGAGTGTTGTCCTGTGCACCAAAAAGTCGCTAGTTTAATTCCCTGTTAGGGTACATGCCAGGGTTGCAGGCTCGATCCCCAGTAGGGGGTGTACAAGAGGTAGCCAATCGATATTTCTCTCTCACATCAATGTTTCTCTCTCCCAACGATGTTTCTCCCTTTCCCTCCCTCCCTCTCTAAAATCAATTTTAAAAAAAGAAAGAAAAACACTAACAAACAAAAAATAAAGTCAATAAAAACATTTTTTAAAAAAAGGACAGCCCCAGGAAACCAGGGAGATACTGAGGATCTACGGTACTTGTAGGTGGATCTAGATGTTCTTCAGGCCAACAAAAAGTTGATCAATTTGCTATTCTTTAAAGACATGGTGAGAAATTAATGGAAGTAGTAAAGACTTCTACACAGTTTTCAGTCTCCATTTTGGCTCCGTTGGCACTTGGGGATTATGTAGTAGTGTAAACTCTACTTCAGATGCACTTCTTATTTTATTGTTCTCCGCTCTTACCACTGAGTGTCAGCTGCCTGGTTACACTCAGTGGTGTAACCAAACGGTGGATGATTATAAGATCACTAGAGGCCCGGTGTACGAAATTCGTGCACAGGTAGGGTCCCTAGGCCTGGTCAGCAATCAGGGCCAATTGGGGCCTTCCGGCTGCCAGCCAGGACCTTCCTTCCCCAGCTGCCGGCTAGGGCCTTCCTTCGTTCCACGCCACCCCCTGGTGGTCAGTGCATGTCATAGTGATCGATCAAACTCCTGGCCTCCTGGTCTAACTCCCGAGGGGACACTTTGCATATTAGCCTTTTATATATATAGATAGATAGGAGCAAAGAAATGAAGAGATTCTATCCTTTGTCTAAAAAGTGATTGTAACTATAATGGGTCTGTTTTAATTTTACCCGATTTTTTTCTTACAGGACTGTTGAAGCCTGGAAGTCCCCTCCCCTCCCCCCTCCCCCCTTTGCCGCTTTGTGGCATTCCCCTCCCTCCACCCTCTCCCACTCTGAAAATCTAGCCATGACTAGCAGAAGCACAGCCAGGCCCAATGGGCAGCCCCAGGCCAGCAAAATATGCCAGTTCAAATTGGTCCTGTTGGGTGAATCTGCAGTGGGAAAGTCTAGCCTGGTGTTACGTTTTGTCAAAGGACAATTCCATGAGTACCAGGAGAGCACCATTGGAGGTGAGTATCTCAGGGAAAGAAAAGGTTCAATGCTTAGTAAGGCTTTTGAAGGGAGATCTAGGGACCTAACTGAAGCTGGCCGTTTTAGCTCCCTGGAATGGAAATCCTTTATAAAACAGAAAGAAAGAAAAAGCCATAATGCCAAAAAGCAGGTATATATTCATCTTCTTGCTTTCTACAAGAAAGAAGATTGACCTTAGCTCACCAATAAAACCACTAATTTTTATCTGTCTCCCTCCCCCTATTCTCATCTGAATCCCAGTCAAGTTCAGCTGAGTGTCATCTTGAGCAGGGGTGGTTTGGAGCAGATTCATAATCAGAGATGCACACCAGAATCATCTGGGGAACATTTTCATCCTATGCATGCTTGGGCCCTACCCTAGATCTACTGATTAGTGTTGAAGGCGGTAGGGGTGTAGGCATATATGTATGTGCATTCTGATGCACATATCTGATAAAATAGAGGCTGGAATTAAATATGAAAGATAAGGCCATTTGCCTTTCCCACATTTGCTACCTTCTCCCTGCCACTACCTCAAAAGTAGGTTGCTAATTCAATAAAAGATCACTTATGAGAACTCCATGTTACTATTTCCCCGCCTGTACTAGTCACCTTGAAAATGTGGTATTCTTGCCCTAGCCGGCTTGGCTCAGTGGATAGAGCGTCGGCCTGCGGACCAAAGGGTCCCCAGTTCAATTCCGGGCACATACCTCAGGCCCTGGTTGAGGCGCGTGCAGGAGGCGTGTGCAGGAGGCAACCAATCAATGTGTTTCTCTTACATTGATGTTTCTTCCCTGTCTTTCCTTCTCTCTTGCACTCTCTCTAAAAGATCAATGGAAAAATATCCTCGAGTGAGGATTAACAAAATATAAATAAATAAAATGTTCTTTAAAAAAAAAGAAAATGTGGTGGTCTTAGGCTAGCAGAAAATTATAGGAAAAGTAACAGACAAATAACATTGATAAAGGTGGGACCTCCCATCAAACTTTAAAATCTTCTAATCAGTTATTTTTTTTTCTTCTCTATTCAGTTCTTGATGTGAGTTTTATCTGAAGCTTATTATCTCTGTCATTATCTCTTATTTTGGTTAGAAGAGGGATGACTCTGGTGTAAGTGCCAGTTCTTTCTGTCCCTCATACTTTATTTATGATGTGCACCCACTCCTTAGATGAGAGAAACTTCTGCAGGAAGGACTTAGCCAAGCATGGTCTTGTGGTCTTACTCCTGGTTCCAGGAATATATATAAAGAGAACACTAAACCTTTTCCTGTAGCTGAATTGCCCAAGTCATGACTGGTCTTAGGCTGAGAGTGGAGATATTTTGAAGGGGTGTGGAATGTTCCCATTCATCCTCTCACAACTGCTTCTCCATTCTCTTATCCATAGCGGCCTTCCTCACCCAGTCCGTTTGCCTAGATGACACAACAGTCAAGTTTGAGATCTGGGACACAGCAGGGCAGGAGCGATACCATAGCTTGGCCCCCATGTACTACAGAGGTGCCCAAGCTGCAATTGTGGTGTATGACATTACTAATCAGGTAAGTGGGCTGAGAGGGTGATCCTTGCTTTCACTTATAGGAATTAAATTAGGTGGGGGAGAGAAAACAAGTTCTCAAAATAACAAAATTATGCTTCCAAGTGCTAAGAAGACAAAGGTAATACATTATCAGAGACTAGAGGCCCTGTGCATGAAATTCGTGCACTGGGTGAGGGGGTCCCCCAGCCTGGCCTGTGCCCTCTCACAGTGCGGGAGCCCCTAGACCAGGGGTGGGCAAACTTTTTGACTCGAGGGCCACAATGGGTTCTTAAACTGGACCGGAGGGCCGGAACAAAAGCATGGATGGAGTGTTTGTGTGAACTAATATAAATTCAAAGTAAACATCATTACATAAAAGGGTACGGTCTTTTTTTTTTTTTTTTTAGTTTTATTCATTTCAAACGGGCCGGATCCGGCCCGCGGGTCGTAGTTTGCCCACGGCTGCCCTAGACCTATCGCCCCAAAGAGGTAGGCCCCACCCACCCATCCAGGGCTCCTCGATGGATTGCCCCAAAGAGGTAGGACGGAGCCAGGGGTCCTGCCTCTGCGCCGCATAGGGCCGTGGGACCCCCAGGCCTGGCCACATGGAGTGGCCACTGGGCCCCGCCTCCGCACATGCAGCGTCAAGTCCCCGCCCACCCACACTCGCCTGCTGAGCATGCAGCCTCCTAGTGATGGATTGTGGGATTGTGACGGCATGAGGGCATCACAGAGTGAGGGCGTAACGACCACCTAGGCCAGTAGTCGGCAAAACTGC